ATATCGCCTGGGGTCGACGTCCATTACCAATGCAATGTATCGAATTTTCCTTCTCACTCGGAGACTAAACAGACGGTGATGGAAGAGACGAAATTTAAATCTCCCAGATGAAATGGAAAGCAGACTGAGGCGGAAGTGAGGAACAAAAGGAATGAAGGAAACGGAGACAAAGATTTTACAAGCATAGGAGAACAGACTGGACAACTGAAATGAAGTCAAAAGGCATGACACAAAGAAAATAGAAAAAAAAGACATGTTAAGAAAAAGACATTTTCGAATAAGATTTACCTTAATTAGATAAGGAAAAATATCTATCTATCTATCTATCTATCTAAGTCTGTTCATATCTATCTATCTATCTATCTATCTATCTATCTATCTAAGTTTGTTTATATCTATCTATCTATCTATCTATCTATCTGTCTATACAAGTCTGTTTATATCTATCTATCTATCTATCTATCTATCTATCTATCTATCTATCTATCTTCTCCTTATCCCCGTACCGTTTTACTCGTGAGATCAGCAAATAATGACGAAGCTGCCTGTGTGAAATTGGGCAATTTAAGTCGGTAAATATTTTTATTATTTGACTTTCGATGCTCTCTTGTTACTTGCTTTAGTAGTAAACTGGAGAATATATCCCAAACTATCACAATTATTATTATTATTATTATTATTATTATTATTATTATTATTATTATTATTTCCTTGGATTTCTGTCGCATACTTTATTTCCTTTTGGTTCCCAACCAGAGATCTAAGGTCAGAAATCTCACCATGACATTTTCCACTGAGTATTTTTGCTATAAAAAAATAGAATAAAATAAACAATTTCAGATCACACACATTTTACATGAATAAACCCCGACGTAATGTGTGAGTTTTACCTGTGATAACATTTTCTTTTTTTAGTATTTCTTTAAGGCATTTACTAGCAGGAATCCCTTTCAATGAGTCTATCGGGATTATTTTCAATTAAACCTTCAACAAGCTTTGTTTTTTTTGTTTTTGTTTTTGTTTTTTTTTGTTTTTGAAGATCTTCAAAGGATACATTACAATCTGCAGGGTGTGTGCCATGTCAATATGAAGGCAACATTCTGGCCGATGTTTATTATTGTTATTATTATTATTATTAAACCTAGCAATATATAATAATAATAATAATAATGGTTATTATTATTATTATTATTATTATTATTATTTGTGTATGTTATGTTTTCTACTTTGTATTCTGTAGAGCCGGGTCCAAACTGGTCCTTAGCCCCTATACGAAACTTGTTATTCAATAGATAACACTTTTCTTAGTATATGGTCTGTTCCTAGCAGAATTTAAAAAAAAATCATTTTTTCCTTTTTAACAACGAAGAATAAATTCTAAGGATTTCTAACTCTTGAGCATGCAACTGGTCATGCATAAATATTCATTTCTGGTGCCAAAATGATGCGATACCATATCCTGTGTGATATTTTACGAAGCTATACTTTGTTGATTGTTGAAAACAGTCTTCGAAAGTTATCCTTGAATTGATGGGTATTCTGGTATCGTCCGTGTGAAACTCTCTCTTTGATAATCAAAATCATTAAAATAGGAATTTAAATTATGTAGGGGTGACAAGACTTTCTGACCACATATATTTTTTTCTCGACTTTCTGACGTGTGTTTAAATCTTCGCAGTATTTGTTGAAATTATCGTTGACATCCTGAGATTTACAAATTAGAAGCTGCGTTCAATTTTACAAACCAATCGATGAAATTTGAATAAGCTGATTCGTTTGGAAAAATACCTTGACAAAAGCCTGACATCGCGGTTTAATAATTTTTTAATTTAATTTAATTTTATAGGATTTCAAGATAAACAATATTTTTAAGAAAAATTCTTTTTTTCCCGTTTTAACAGTGAAGAATAAATTCTTAAGATTTCTTACTCTTGAGCATGCAACATACAACTGGTCATGTATAAATATTTCTTTTTGAAGCCAAATTCCAACTTTTTGAAGCGTTTGGCCTTATGATTTGTTTATGGTTCTCGCAAACGCAGGGCGAACTGGAAACTGGATTCTTGTATATAAAAACTCAAAGAAAAGATATGCAAAAACGCTACTGTATTTTTATTAAATAAGTATTTGTTACTGTAATCGTTAAACGGTTTTTAAAATAGTAGAGGATTTTGTATGTTAAATAATAAAACTTTTAATTTTTTTCCCCAAAATAATGAAAAATTTATTGTACTAAGCAACACACCCTAGTAAAAACAATCTGTACTTTTTCCTCTTACTTGTTTGCATTTCTCCCCTAAATTTGATTTCGATCGGCCAATGTATGGTGTGATGGTGGGACGGACGAACAGAAGTCACAGAATTTTATATATAAATTACGCTTGCAAAATTCCCGCTGACTTTTGCGTTTTTTTTTTTATTTTGTGCTGAATTTATGGTAAAAAAACACACGATACAGAAATTAGAGTATTACAGTGTATATCATAATTTTTTAAAATTTATTATTATTATTATTATTATTATTATTATTGCCTTATTTTCTTTGATTTCTGCTGTATACTCATTTCTTTCCGGGTCCCAACATGAGACCTAAGGTCAGAAATGTCATCATGAAATTTTCTGCTGAGCAGTTTTGAAAAAAGAAATCGCACATATTTTACATAGCTGTAGGCATTCGTAAGGTGTGGGATGTATTTGTGTGTATAATTTTTTGTTTATCTTTAAGGCTTAGGCTACCAGAGATTCCTTCAATGAGTCTATTGGAATTTTTTTTTAAATCATTCCGGGTGCTCATACTACAACTGGAATTATTAATATCCTCATGCATTGATTTATCTCCTTTGATTTCTGGTGTATACTCATTTTTTCTGGGTCCCAACCAGAGACCTAAGCTCAGAACTTTTCCACTGAACAGTTATAGAAAAAATAAAGGAAAATAAAATCGCGCAGATTTTATATAGATAGTGCCCTTCGTAAGGTGTGGGCTGTACTTGTAAATACAATTTTTTTGTATTTCTTCAAGGCATGGGCTACCAGGGATTCCTTCAATTGATGTATTGTAATCTGTTTCCATTATTATTATTATTATTATTATTATTATTATTTTCTTTGATTTCTGGCGTTTACACATTTCTTTCCGGGTCCCGCCCAAGGACCTAAGGTTAGAAATGCCATCATGGCTCTTTCCATTGACAAAAAATAAAAAATTACGTAGATAAAGCCCTTCGTAAAGTGAGGGCTGTACTTGTCAGATCAATTTTTAGTATTTCTTTGAGGCATGGGCTTCCAGGAATCCCTTCAATTAGTCTACTGCAATCTTTTTCAACCAGTCCTAGGGACCCAACTACAACAGGGATTGTTGATGTTCCCATATGCCACATTTTCGAGATTTCTATTTCAAGGTCCTTATATTTTGACAACTTTTTGAATATCTTCAAAGATACATTGCAGCCAGCAGGGACTGCCATATCAATAAGGAGGCACCGTTTTTGTTTGTGGTCTTTAATAACAATATCTGGCCGGTTGGCCTTGATTGTTCTGTCAGTGTGTATTGTTTAGTCCCATAGAATTGTAACAGGTCCTATCTCTGTAACCGGGTTTGGGTGGTGTTCATACCATTTTCTTTCATTTTCTTTCCCGTAGAAGTTGCAGATTTTCCAGTGCAGATATTGGCCCAACTATTATTATTATTTCCATTATTATTATTGTTATTATTATCTGTATTTTTACAACCAATGATTATTTTATCCAGTCCGTCAGTTATGTGCCATTCGTGATACACGCTTAGGCGATCATGTATCTTTCGATACACGACTGACAAGGCAGATTTTTTCCCTCAGTAGATTGACATGTCTTTTTGCGGTAGATCAGTTGCCATCCAAGCCTATAGAAGCCGGTCTGTTCTGCTATTTAGCCATAGCTGGAGGGAGAAAAGGATTCATACCTTTTCCAACGGTCAGTCATGTGCCATTCGTGATACACGCTTAGGCGATCATGTATCTTTCTATACATGACTGGCGAGGCAGATTTTTCCCCAGCAGTAGGTTGCCATTTCTTTCTGCGGTAGACCAGATGCCATCCAAGGCTATAGAACACAGTCTATCCTGATATTTACCCATAGCTGGAGTGGGGAGAAAAAGAGGATTCATACCTTTC